TGTCCTTCCTGGAGCCTCCCGGCCCTGCCCACGCCCCGCCCACGCCCCGCCCCACCATAGTCCAGTCTTTCACCGCCTCGTCACGCCCTCAGCCCCGCCCCTCGCCCACCTGCCCAGCGGGGCGCCCCGGGACGTCGTCCTGGTTACGCTGTCTCTCTTCTCTCGTTTTGGGACGTCAAAAGGGACAGGAATCTTCGATCATGACCGCAAGAGGGAATCGGCTTTGAGAGATCGAAGTGAGCAGTCCCACCCCCCAGGAACGACCGTCCGCGAGCGGCCCTGCCGCCGGCGAGTCCCTCCCCGCCCAGGCTTAGGCTCAGCTGGAGGCTGGCCCGGGCGGCCGCGCATGCGCTGCTGCCGCCGCGCGGGCCACCCGGCGTATTGCGCACGCGCACGCCTCGCGCTGGTTGCTTGGTTACCGCGTGCGGCGCCGGGCTGGAGCGGAGATCCTGGCCGCTCCCATGCCGGCGCCTATCTTGGGGTTCACCCAGCTGTCGCAGGGTGCTGCCATCTAGCCGAGCGTGGGACCTGGCGGTTCCGCGGTTCCCTGCAGTAGGGCGCTCAGAGTCCCCCACGGGCATCGGTGACGCTGCGAGGTCACCGAGCTGGCCGTCCGCCGCTGCCCGTCCTTCCCAGAGGCACCCTTGCATCCGGCGCTGGCCTCGGTAAGGGCTTCGGAAAAAGAGGGCTGCTGTCACCTGCACCGCTGTCCGGGAGGCGGAGACAGAGCAGCCCCCAGCTCCTTCCCAGGGGCGATTAGGGAGGTCGCCTGGTCCCCGGTGTACCTGGAGGCAGGGAGAGGAGGGTGTGTGGTCTTGCCGCCTGTCTCGGTAACTCAGACGAGGGCACAGCCACGCAGGCAGAGCCTGTCTGACGTGGCACCTGGGACTTGCTGCTAAGCTAACATTTGCCTTGCAGGAGGCAGTTTCCCTATGTGTTTGAATACAGGCTTGGGGAGCACGTGACAGGTTGGGCCCTGGGCCACTTAGGCAGCAGTAGACGGCCCACCGCCAGGACCATGTCCTTCCGTGGTCAAGGAGCTCTGTGATCTCTGCCCCACCAGAACCCTTTGCGTAGCTGTCGCTGTCCATTTGTCAAAAGGGGACCCAGAGACGGACAGTGACACAGGGCCCACTCTTGTCCTTCTGACCCTTGGAGGAGCCCTGCAGTGATGCCTGGCCTGGCCCCTGGGTCCCGACAAGATGGGTCCAGCCCTGGTGGCTGTAACCTGGAGAGGGAGTCCGGCCCACTCTGAGCTGAATGCCTGGACCTTCGGGGCAGACATACCAGAGGCACCTGCTTAGGCTTCTGCCTAGTCCCTGCGGGAGTCTCGGCCCACCTGTCTCTTCCTTCCCTTTTCTCAAGGGGAGATGGTCCTGTCTGTAGCCTTGCAACCTGCTGTGTTGACAAGGCCTCTGGGGCCCGGGGGCCAGAGCGTGGAGTCAAAGCCCTGCTGTTCAAGCTTGCCACCTAGATGCAGTGTGCCCTTGGCTGACCTGTGGAAGCGTGCACCAGGCCAGTGGATGTGAGCTGGGTTATGAGGGCAAAGGGGGGGTGTGGGATAACCGGCTGCAGAATGCGTGTGCCGTGGTGGTGACTGCCCACCGTGGCCAGTACTGCCCCGCGTGTCCTCCTCCCCGCCTCTCCCTCAGCCCTTTGCTTGAGGCTGAGCCCAGGCAGCTCCCTGCAGGGCCCAGGTGGCTCAGAGGCAGTGCCTGGACAGAGCCTGCAGGACCAGCTCAGCCCCAGCCAGTCTGTGGTAGAAGTTGCAGGCTGTCAGCACCGCCCAGTGTGGTGGCTGCTGGGCCTGGCATGGGGCGGGTTCACACCAAGCTGGGGCCGAATACAGTGTCTTACTGGCCGCTTGTTACTGCATGTTAAAATCTTGTGATTTAAATAAAATACACAAGTGGGTGGGGTGTGGTTATGCAGGCACCTATAACCCCAGCACTCAGGAGGCTGAGGCAGGAGGATCAAGGCAAATTGGAGGCCAGCCTGAACTATGTAGCAAGACCTTGACTGAAGAAAATGTTTTTCTGCAAAAAAAGGAGGGGCTGGGGAGCTAACTCAGTAGAGTAAGCACTTGCCTGGCAAGCGCAAAGTCCTGAGTTCAATCCCCAGTACCGAAGAAAAGGAAAATGTTTTTCACTTGTTTCTTTTTTAAATGTGAAGCTCGAAGTGTGGCTGTCATGCTGTTCACGGTCCATGCAGGTCTAGAGGGGTGCACTTGGGGTGAGAGTTGGGTTCCCATACGCAGCATCCCTACTGGGCTCATCCCCAGTTGGGTCTGGTCTTGGGGTGGAGGCTGCCACGTGGAGTGGGCTGAGGCCAAGGGCCAGGGCAGTCCTCCAAGGCTCTCTAGAGGGTGGGGCAGCGTCTGCCAGGAGGCTCCGTGCCCCGCACCCCTCCCAGCAAAGTCAGTGTCCAGCGTACCTGGCGGTGCGAGGGGCTGTGTGAGGCAGGGCTGCCCATGCCTTGGGCCAGCGCAGACCCTCGCTGTGGACTCTGCAGTTCTGGAGGTGAGGGAGGACAAGAGGCGCAGCCTCCACCGACAACAGGGCTGGCTGGCTGGGTAGCCCAGGCCTAAACTGCAAAGCCCTTTCTCTCTGCAGGAGTGGAAGGAGTTTGCTTCGTGGGGGAGGAGTCCAAGGCTGAGGAGGGGGTAACAGGAGGCAGCTATGTGGAGTGTGTGGTCGATGTGTGGGCCTCCCAGAGGTGAGCCTGGGTCAGGAGTAGAGAAGGAGGACCCCTGCGGGAGTGGGGACAGCAAGGAGAGCATCTCAGGCCTGCTTCCCTTTGCCACCTGCTCACCACCGGCAGTCATGCCACAGCCCCCAGATACCTTGTGGGCATCGCCCTCACTGAGGCCCTGCATGTGTGAGCACTCAGGAGGCTGAGGCAGGAGGCTTGCTAGCACCAGCTACTTTGAGAGTTCAATGGCAGCTTGGGCTGCGTAGAGAGACCTGTCTCAAAAATGATTGCACCAGGGCCGGGGAGATGGCTCACTAGAATGAGCGCTTGCCTGGGAAGTGCAAGGGCCTAAGTTCAATCCCTGGTTCCCCCCCCAAAAAAAATGATTGCACATCTGGGTGCTCTCTCCAGCCCATCCAGGGCACATAGGTGGACAAAGAGCGCCCGCCGCCTCCCAGCAGAAGGGGCACACACCCTTGGTGCCACCTAGCTGCACAGCTTGGATGAGCCGTCTACAAAGGCCTCCCGAAGGATCATGGGGGACATCGGAGCAGGGAAAGCTCCCAGAGCTTTTCCACCAGGAATGGCCCCATCTGTTGAGGCTTCGAGAGCCCTGCACATGGGGGGCCGCCTCAGCGAACTGCTGACCCTGGTGTGACCACCCCCCAGACAGGGACCTGGCTCTCCTGTGGGTTCTGGAACGCATCAGCCAGCCAAGCACCACAAACAGGGAGAGCCCAGGCACAGGTGGGGGCTGAGGCTGCGCAGGGACAGTAGCCAGGCTCTGTGGGGGGCAAGGAGGAGTCCCAGGGTTGGAGGTCATCTGTGCTGAGCCGGTGGCCACTGCACACCTGCCACGGGCTCTGCCAAGTCCTCGCCTCCCTGGTGTCCAATTCTCCATCCGAAGCGTCTGGGCTGGGTGGCATGTTTCCACCAGCCCTTACAGCCTCACAGCACTCAGCATGGTGCATGCCCTCATGTAGGACAGGACCTTCCATGGGCCAAAAGGGCTCTGGCAGAGTGCAGTCACCAGGGGGAGCCAGAGAGCTGCCTCTGAGTGTGGGAGGGGCGCAGAACACCCTAGCAGCACCTCAGCTCCCTAGGACCCAGCCCCACCGCAGTGCCCCAGTGGCCACTCGCTGCTCCCTGGCAGTAGGGCTTGCTGAAGGAAGACAACCTCCATAAGCGCTCCTGGAGCCCAGGTCCCCGGAGGGACTGAGCCGCTTCATGCCTGGGCCCTAGGCCAGTTCCATCCCAGCCCTGAACGCCACCAGTCAGGCATGGGACCGTCATGCCCACGGTGCAGCGAGTGTCCTACTCGCTTTTCCAGACAGGCAGGCAGGGGTGGGAAAGAATAAGCAACTTACGTTATTAGGCCACGCATTTCCAGTGGCTTTTCCCCCTCAGTGCCACACAGTGACAAGGCCTGAGGGATGTGTGCCTTTACACAGAGCCGGGGGCAGGGCCATGACATGTCGTGGTGCGTTGCAGAGCGTGCAGAGTTGTGGAAATGGAGCAGCGCTCTGGTACCATAGCTGCGTGCTCACTGATGGAGCGCGGCCTGCGTGGGCCCCGGCCCAGCCCTCAGGTCGGGGTCCTGGGAAATGCTGGAACGCTGCCCCTGGGCACCTGGGCATGCCTCTGCAGGGTGGCACAGAGGCCAAGCTCAAGCAAGCGACTCTCGGGCCACGTTCGTCCACCTGCCTGCAAGGAGAGGTACTCACCTGTGGAGGGCCTGCAGCCGGGCTTGCATGAGCTGCGCGTAAGCCCAGACGATGCTGTGTTAGCTGGGTGTGGTGGTGCCGGCCAGAAATCCCCGCACCCCTGGAGGCTGAGGTGGGGAAAAGTGAACTGGAGCCCAGCCCGCGGCAACTCAGCAAGACCCCGTCGCAAAATAAGAGATCAAAGAGCGCTTCAGGAGTCCCCGGGGTCCTGCGCACCCATGCCTCCCACACACAGCACACGTGCCTCCAGGCCTGAGGGCCCACGTAGAGGACTCCCAGGCCCAGGGACGCGGTGCCCGATGTGTCCACCTGCCCAGGGCCTCACTGTGCCACGTGGAAGCACTGCCGCAGAAACCTCTCTGGTCCCTGGGTGCAGCAGGGCCATCCCCAGCAGAGCACCCTGAGGATGTGGCTCCTTCCTGTGTCTCTTGTGTGTGACTGTGGTGTGGGCTGGGCGGCCACTGGCCCAGGATATGAGGAAGGGGCCACAGTGGACACCAGCCTGCTCAGCCCTGCCCAACCTCCATGTCCTTGGGAGGCCAGCCTTCCTGTGTGGCCAGCCTGGAGCCTGGTTAGTGGCCACTGGTGCTCTCAGCCCCTTCGCGCACTGGCCTGGAGTGTGAGAGGCATGTTTGGGCTTCGCTCCAGCGACAGCAAGAAGCAAGATGCCAGCGTTGCAGCCTGTTCCCCTGTGCAGGTGACACAGGTGCCTGGGGTCACCTGGACCTTCAGGAGCCAAGCCTGCAGGTGTGCAGCAGGCCAGGGACCCTGTGTCTCTACCACCCCTGCGATGTGGGATTTTACAAATGGGATCTCTCCCATGGGCAGCTTATATTGCCTTTTTTTTTTTTTTTTCCCCCGGTACCTGGGATTGAACTCAGGACCTTGAGCATGCCAGTCAGGCGCTTCTGCCACTGAGCTGTCTCCCCATCCCAAGGTGTTCAGGTCTCCCTATGCCATTCATAAGGAGGCTTTGAACTCACTGTGTAGCCCAGGCCTGCCTTGAATTCGAGTTGATTCTCCTGCCTCAGCCTCCAGAGTGCTGGGGTTACAGGCATGCACCACCTGTCAGGCAATTACTTGTTTTTGTTTGTTTGTTTGTTTTTTAAAACATTTATTTGTGTGTGTGTGTGTGGCCAGCTCAGCCCACCAGGGGGCAGGGCTGGCTGGCATGTGGTGCTGGGGGATCGAACCGTGGTCCCTGCGCTTTGTGAAGTTTGTTCCAAGTAGGTGCTTTAGACCACTGAGCCATCTCACCAGCCCAAGGCAATTACTTGTTGAAATGATATTGTAGATTGATTAAATGAATTAAGATGTTATAATAAACCACTGTTTTGGGATTTTTAAAAATGCATTTACTACAGGGTCTCACTACACGGATCAGACTTGTAGTGATTCTCCTATTTTCAGCCTCCCAAGTGCTGGGATTACAGATGCACACCACCATGCCCAGTCTCAGTCACTGTCTCAGTGTGGGGGCCGGCATGGCATGCTGGGGATCAAACTCTGGCCCCTGCACCTGCCTCAGCAGGCACTTTAGTCACAATGTTTGGGGACCAGGACATGTGCCTGGGGCTGCTGGCCAGTGCCTTGGGTGTGTCCCTGGGGGAACCTGGCCTTGGCTCAGTCTGTGACACCAAGTCCTGGTGGCCTAAAGGTGGACGGAGCTCGGCAGGTTGGCTCTGCCTGGGCCTCTCCCGGGCTTGAGGACGTACGCGTCTGAGATGTCCCTCCCTCCCTCTGCACACTGGTGTCCTACTCTCCTCTTAGGGATGCGCTCACACTGGGAGGTGGCCCTCAGCGAGCCCTCTCAAGGCTGTGTCTCCCAACATGGTCACATGCAGGGGTCCTGGGAGTCAGGGCTGCCAGGTGCCACCTGGAATGAGCTGGACCAACCTGAGAAAGCCAGCAGCTGCAGGACTGGGTAGTGGGGACACAGCCACCTCCAGGCTAATCTGGCACTTGGGGACCCTGAGGATCCTGAGCAGGTTAGTGGGCAGGAAGCTCAGGACTGTGGCAGTGTGGCACCCAGAGGAGAGCAGTTGCACGCGTGGCCACGGCAGTGCAGGTGCTGGGTGGCTGCCTCCGAGCACCAGCCTCAGGGTCATGATGTTTGTGCCCGGGGCCCAGAGCCCACCTTGCTCCCTTGGCTCCCCAGGCGCTGGAGGCTCCAGGTGGCTTTGGGGATGGAGCGTGGGTCCCTGAGGCCCGGCCTTTTGTCTGTGGGGACAAATGCACTGATACTGCTCTTTGGAGAGATAAGGCACAGAAGGTTGGGGCGGGGTCCACCTGGCCGTAGCAAGGCCCTGGGTCCCCTCACCAGGAAGGGCACCCACCCTTCGTAATGTATCACAGGGACCCGAGGGATGTAAAATTGACCCTCCCCAGGATGTACAGTTCAGGGGCAGTCTCAGTGGGTGACAGCTGCTGCTACCATCCAGAGTGGGCCATGCCACCACTCCCAGGTCACACTACTTGGCCGCTGAGCAGCCAGCCAGGCCTGCCCCTAGTCCCAGGAGGACTGGCCGGCTTTCCACCCGCCTGTGTGTAGTTACTGAGCATGCGCCATATGGAGGGCCGGGCACGTCCAGTGGCCTCTTGTGCCTCCTACCGAGCGCAGAGTCCTCGAGTTTCTCCCGCTTAGCGCAGGCATCAGAGCTTCATGCCCTTCCCCAGACTGACGCACGTTCCATGCTTACGGCGTGTGTCAGTCAGGGCTCTCCAGAGAAACAGCTGGAGGAGGGACACTCACAGCGTGGTGGCTGCAGGGACTTAAGCATGCAGTGCTGGGGCTGACACGTCCTAAGGGTTGCAGGCGGCAGCCCGGAGCCCCTCAGGAAGTTGAGGGGGTGAGCCCCACTCTAAATGCAGCAGGCGTGGGGCTAGGGATGTGGCTCAGTGGTAGAGCCCTTGCCTGGTGTGCACAAGGCCTGTTCATTCCACAGCAACGCACGCGTGAGCACACACACACAACCACAAACTTGAGACCAAATCCAGGCAGTGTTTCTGCCTGAGCCTGAAGGTAGGGGACTCTATCCAGCATGGAGGCAGGCACTGGAACCTTGTGTCCTGCTCAGGCCTTCGCCACACCTGGGCGGCCCTCTGCTTCTCTCTTTGGGACCGGGGTGCAGTCCCCTCCAGAACCCCGAGGCATGTATCAAAGGCGTGGCCCTGTAATTCCCAGTGACAGCAAGGTCAGACCCTGCGCTGTTCTACCAGGTGATGATGTCCAGCTCTGAGCTGCTGTGAACAAAGCCTGGGGACACACAAGTACTCCCCTGGGAGCCACCCCCCGGGCACACACGCTAGCCAGGCCCACGCCTGCACCTCTCTGCTGTCTCAGTGACAGCAGCATCGTGCAGCAGGGGTGCAGCTCCCGAGTGTGTCCAGGAAACCTTGGGCTCACAGTGGCTCTCAGGTGGCTGAGGGGAGGGGGGCACTTTGCTGTCAGAGGAGAGTATCAGATCCTTCTTGTCCCATGTGTGCCCTGGAGGCTCAGCTCCTGCCCATAGGAGCTCCTGGACTGGACCGCACTATCCCCTGCACTCCGGGCGGGCAAGCAGGGGCCGCCTCTCCAGCATGGCTGTCATCAGAGGATCCAGCTGTCTCAGATGAGCCCCATCCCCAAATAAGTCAGAGGACACCACCAGCTTAGCAAAATCTGGATGACCATCAGCATCATTTTTATTGCAAATCAGTTAACAAAAAAAGGTGAAAAAAATACATCCTTTTCATCTACAGCTTTGCATGTAGACAACTTTTTTAAAATGTTCCTTTTTCTGTAAACTACACTATTTTACAAAACACAGTAAGAATCAACATCTTGGGACCTGTCTGGTGGGCCCACGGGGGAGGTGCAGCACTGCCCCAGGACACTGGGGGCTGCCCGAGGAGGTGACACCAAGCCCTGAGTGCCCCAGGCACGCGGGGACAGGCGGGGCTGGAGGGCGGCGGGCTGTCTCTGGGCTGCATTCACAGGAGCCGTTTTCGGCATCTGCGTGTCTCGAGGCCGAGGCCACACAGAGCTGAGCCACGCTCTTGATACCCCCGTCAGTTTGACATGGGACAGACTTACTCATTCAGATTTTTTAAACAAAATCCACCTTTAAAAATGTATTTACAGGTATTTACTCTGCCACAGGCGTGTACTTGATGCAAGAATCAGCTACTCTCCTAGGCCCCCTCAACCTAGAGGGGCGGCTGAGAGCAGGGTCTAGGTCACCTTCCAGCACTCCCGAGGCGACGGATGCGCGGCGGGCCCACACGGCGTGCCCCTGGTCCCTGGGACTGCTGGGGAAAGCCCGGAGGACACAAGATTCTCCCAGACCTCCGCGCGGGCTGCATTAGCAAGTGCCCCCAGCGGGGCGCCCCCAGCAGTCGGGTCCAGGCCTCAGCAGCCCAGCCTCTGAACCCAGGCCGTGCAGCGGAGCTGCGACGGCAGGACGCAGCCTCCCCTGGAAGAGCAGGTTCAGTCCCGGTGACTCGCTCCAGACACGCTGAATGTCGGGAAGGCTGCGGGCAAGGCAGGGGCCAGCACTCACAAGGCTAATACTGGCAGCGCTGGGCCGGAAACGAGGGCTCCAGTTGGCACCACGGGACCTATGGGCTTGGGGTGACGCCAGAGCACATCCACAAACGCACCTTCCGGAGCACCACGAACGCCACAGTGCACACACACTCCATTTCACTTAATTTTCCTGTTCCGGATGCACATTAATTCCCATGCCCAAGGCGGGAAGCATTTGCCTTTGACTCTACACTTCTCACAAAACGCAGGAGACCCTGGGGTGCGGGCAGCAGGCGTGGGCGGGCACCCGTGGACACTGGGCACCCGGGAGCTCTCCAGCCAGTGCAGTTCAGCCTCCCTCCTCTCATGTCACTTCTGTTTAGATTTTTAAAAGGAGTCAATAAATAAATGGTATTTATACATCCCAAATCCTTGTTTAGACGAGTACGTAACCATTTTCACCCTGAGGAGGGAAGTCATGACTTTGAGAACTGGTTTATTTCCTTGGAACAGTTACCTGGTGCCATAAAAAACAGTACATATAAATAAAACGGCAGCGTTTCTGTGTAAAATAAAAGTACATAAATAAATACTAAAAAATTGAAATTTTTGTCCTCTTGTTTTGTATAAAAATTTTTTTTAAAGGCTCCTTTGGTTGGCCCCAGCATCCTGGAGCACTGGCAACGCCCAGTAGGGCTTGGGAAAGGAAGCTGGGGTCCCTTGGGGGCGAGAGAGCGGCTGTTTACTTGAACGCCTCTGGAATGTGGGCGATCTGGGCCGGCATACTGGTGGGCGGGCTGGAGATGCCCTCGGACCAATCGGAGATGTTGGAGTGTGGCGAAGAGCTGGACCACTGGTCAGGGGACTCGGGGGATGGGGTGAGGAAGGGGTGCTCGGGCACCTGCAGCTGGTGGCTGGGGGTGCTGTCCACAGGCGAGGAGGAATAGCTGTGCTGGGAGGGTGGGGTCAGGAACTGGGTTGTGGTCATGGGTGGGACTAGTGTGGATGGCAGTGATGTGGGCAGGTTCTGGCCCTCCTGGGGCAGGATGGTGTGCACTGTCAGGCTGTTGGGGCCCAGCGGCTGCACATCCGCCTGGCTCGGCTCTCCGCCCGGGAAGCTTCGGCCCAGGTGCCCATTGGCCACCGAGCCCACGCCAAGGTGTGGCTGTGCTAGTGGCGGTGGCGGCGGTGGCGGCTGGGGCTGCAGGCCCTGGGGTGGCTGGATGTTTGCTGGCGGCGGCAGGCCTGGTGGCTGCACCTGTAAGCTTTGCTGCTGCACCGGAGGTACCTGCTGAGCCTGCACCAGGTGAGGCTGGGTGGCCAGCCGTGTGGAGGGCAGGCCCTGGTAGCTCATTATCTGAGACAGGGTGTTGGAGGAAAGGCTGCCGTGCAGAGGGCCCAGCATGCCATGCTGCAGGGCAGGGGCTTGCGTGCTCAGCGTGCCTGCTGTCACGGTCCCCCGCAGCTGGTTGTACTGGCCCGAGACCATGCCGTTCTGCAGCCGGGACAGCCAGTCACACTGGCCATTCAGGCCGGCAGCCGTGCCCACGGTGAAATTCACAGCCCCGCCACTGCTAGTACCCAGGACTGAGCTGGTGCTGGAAGCCACAGGCAGGTGGGAGAGGCGTGGCGGCCCAGGCTCGAAGGTCAGCCGGCTGGCCCCGCCCAGAGCTGCCATCTCTGGCTTGGCTGCCACGTTCAGATGGTTGATGCCCAAGTGGGTGTCAGGCATGCCGGGCAAGTGACTAAGAGGCAAAGATGGAGACTGCTGGAATGGAGAGGGCAGGAGGGGCGGGGAGGCCACGTCCGACAAGTAGCCGTGGGGAGACTCCAGTGAGTCCACGGGTGACAGCATGCTCGAGCTGTCCAGCAGGCAGCCCTTGCCCTCCTGCGACTTCTTCCTCCGTGCCTTGAGGTCTTTGGCCTCTTTGCCGCTGCAGGCCAGGCCCTTAGTGCTGGGCTTGCGGGCCTTCTTGCCCTGCACAGCAGGCTTGAGGTTGCCCAGGTAGCCACCGGGCGAGCACAGTGTGGGCGACAGGGTGGGCGTGCCGCTCAGGGCGGTGCTGTGCAGCTGGGGGCTGCGCACCAGGTTGTACTCATCCAGCAGCCGCACGATGTCATGGTGCATGCGCTCCTGGGCGATGTCCCGTGGCAGGCGGTCCATGTGGTCAGTGATGTCCCGGTTGGCAAAGTGGTCCAGCAGCACCTTGGCGGTCTCGTAGCTGCCCTCCCGTGCAGCCAGGAACAGAGGCGTCTCCTCCTGGGGACAGGGGCACAGGGCAAGTGAGGCAGTCACCCAGACCCACCGGTGCCCCATCACTACCTGCCTGATTACACGCCGGACGCCACCCAGCAGGTCGGCAGGTTCCTGTGCTCCCAGTCCCCGGAGCTCCGCACCCTGCCGAGGGAGTTGCAGGCTCCACTGAGATCAGACGAACTGCAGGCCCCCTGGCTCCCCAAACATGGATGTAAGACATTGCAGCAACTCAGGGCTGGGGCTCCAAGGGGTGCAAGTGGGCACAGGGAAGGGCTTCCTGCACAGAGGGCTGCGCATGGCCCTGGCGTCTCAGCTCTTGCCTGGACGGCTCTGCCCAGCAGAAGTGCCCTGAGGTCCTGAGCCCTGGTGCCCATCTGCCCTCCCTGAGTCCTGCAGGAGGGACCGGTTCCACAGCACGCCCTTGTGCCTGACACCTGCTGTGCTGCCTAATACCTGCCGTGTCCCCTGCGCCCCGGAGGGGTCTTGCCTTGAAATGCAGCCAGGGACACTTCACACATGGGCACAGGTTGTGGACACTCTGCCTCTCTGTGCCTGAGCCCCTAGGGCCTGGCCCTAAGTGGCAGAGCGGCAGTGAGACACAGGAGACCCGTGGCAGGGAGGGAAAACGTGGCCCCGTTCAGCAAAGAGGTCCCCGAGCTTTTGGAGATACGGGCAATGCCGCTGAGGCGGGGACCACCTGGAGAAAGCTGAACCCTGTCACCATGCCCCCAGTGCCAGCTGAGAACAGAGAAGGTCAGGTGGTGTCGACGGGACGGCTATCGCCACACGGGCTTCTGGGTGAGAGCAGGACCTTTTGGTTTGCGACAGTCCTGGCCCCCAATCTCATGGCACCAGAGGAGCTGAGAGAGTGGCCCGCGGCCTGGACGCCCACACTATGTCCCCAGGGCCTCCTCCTCCCGCCCAGCCCACCTTGTTGTTCTGCATGTCCTTGTTGGCTCCGTTCTTCAGCAGCACCAGGGCAGCGTCCACGTTGTTCACAGCTGCAGCCCAGTGCAAAGCCGACTTGCCTGCAGCCACAGACAGGAAATGTCACAGGTGGCCCAAAGCAGCCCCTGCCTCCCTGCAGTTGGGCCGCCCACCTACCCAGGTCATCCACGGCATTGACGTCGGCGTGGGAGTTGATGAGGTCCTCCAGCATGCCCTCCACGGCCAGGCGGGCCGCCAGAATCAGTGGCGTTGTGCCATCGTGCATGCGGGCATCCAGGTCCGTGGCCCGGTTCCGGATCAGGATCTACGGCACAGGAAAGGACTTAGGCGAGGCCACAGAGTGGTGAACCTGAGGCCCCCAGCTGGAAGCTGATGTCTGACATGAATGGCCCCAGTAAGATAGGGTGCCAGGGACCCATAATCAACACACTGAGGGTGGGCCAGGCCTTAGGTGACCAGAAGTCACTGTGGCCATGTGTGGCCACATCTGACCCTCAGCATAGTCCCTGCTGCAGTGACCACCTCCAAGTCAGGAGCCCAGCTCCTGTCCAGCCACCAGGCTGCAGGCAGGATGCGACTCTAGCTTGCGGAGCTATGGCGGGTCAGGGTGTCCCCTGGGAATCCCCAGGAGAAGAGCAGGCAGCCCTTCGAACACAGCCTGGCCTGTGCTACCGGCAGGCAGGAGTGGCAGTCACCGTCTTGGGGCAGGTGAGAAACATGAGGTCCAGGAACCTGCAGCACGGAGCTAAGAAATCATTAGATGGCAAGCTTTGTGAGGGTGCCTGCCTCACGGGCCATCTGAGCCCACTTCAGGGCAGCCAGAGCCCAGGGATGCAGTGGGGATCTGTCGTTGGCAGCTTCCTAGAGGAGCCCCTGCTAGGATGCTCCCTGGAGACCCAGGCATCCGAACCCCTAAAAATCCACCCTTTGCTCATGGGCTCTGGTGAGGCCACGAGGCAGCCTCTAAAGCTCTCTTGGGAGACGGCTAAGTGGAATACGTGCTTCCCTGGCAAGCACAAGGACCTGAGTTCAATCCCCAGATCCTCAAAAAAAAAAAAAAAAAATCATAAATTTTTTTTTAAAAAAGCTCTCTCACCGCCATGGGCTACCCCTGCAGCTGTGGCTAAAGGGAGGGAAACAAGAGGGCAGCAGCCTAGGACTGGGGCCTCGGGCTGGGTCGTGGCCCCAGACAGAAGTCTGGATTGAAGTGGTTCCGCCTCCTCCTGCGGCTGCTTGGATACCTGCTGGGCCACCTCTGCGGCTCCCGGGTGGACGTGGAGCAGGGGTCCTGGTGCAGGTGGCAGCTGTCCAGCCTAAGCCACCTGGCCCTGAGGCTCCCCAGGCCACTAAGTCCAGGGACTGCTGCCTACCTGGAAGACGCCCTGAGCATCGGCAGAGACAGCTGCATGCAGTGGGGTCCGTCCCATGTTGTCCTGGATGTTGGCATCCGCACTGGCCTCTAGCAGGCGCTTGGCGGCGTCGGAGCGCGAGTAGCGGGCGGCCAGGTGCAAGGCAGTCTCGCCGGTACGGTCCGTCTGGTTGTGTAGGCTGGCGCCCTGGTAGATGAAGTCTGAGATGACAGCCGGCGCGTCCTCCTCCTCCTCGCTGTTGCCTGTCTCTAGGCCCCCTCCGCTGCAGGAGGCTATCATGAGCGGGGTGAAGCCATCTACGTGGAAGCAGAGATAGGCGGGGCTCAGTGCCCTAGCACCCAGCCACAGCTTGGGTCCCAGCAGCAGTCCCCAGCCCACGGGGTGGCTGTGGGGACATAAGTCCCCTGAGCTTCCCTGGGGCAGAGCCCACACCCAGCTGTAACCTGCTGCTGGACAGTGGAGCCCCCTCTAGCTCTACCCTGACCCACCAGAACTGTTACTCAAGCCGGAAGCCCAGGGAGGCAGCAGACAGAAGGCAGCCTGACTCCGGATGCCTCACCCCCAGCAGCACTGGATGGAGGACGTGCTGTCCAGCAGGTGCAAGAGGAGCAGCAGCCCCTGAAGTGGTGGCTCGGCCCCCAGTACATGCAGCCGTAAGTCCTGGGGGAGCCAGCGGGCTCTGGGTTGGGGAGGCGCAGGCGGCTGCACACCAAGGGCCCCACCAGCCCCTGGCAGAGAGGCTCTGAGGACAGTACCTGGCCCGCGCACGTTCACATCCATGCAGTCGGCGTCGACCTCTCCCTGCGGCGGTGTGGGCGCCATGGCAGACACACGCAGGTCAGCGGCGTCCAGGTGCTGCTGGGTCCACTGCCGGTGGTCCGTCTGGTCATCCAGGTCGGGAAGAACCACGGGCTCCTCGAACTATGTTGGGGAGAGGGGAAGCAGGGATCCACGTCATGCCGGGTCACCTCATCAGAAGCTCGCTGGGCATTCCCGGAGCCCGCTGGGCTCACCCGGAACTTCTTGGCCTCGAGGTCCTCGTCCCCCCACTCATTCTGGTTGTCATCCATGAGGGCACCGTCGGACACATTCTTCAGGGGCCTGGGGGCAGGGCGAGACTGAGTGGCCCCCGGGAAGCTGGGGGCAGCAGGCGGGACAGCGCCAGGCCAGCCCTTCACCCCCACAGGTGATATCACGCCCACTTACTTGAGGCCCACGGAGTCCTCGCCCAGGGGCTCTCGCCGCTTCTTCTTGCTGGCCTCCGACACCTTGAAGCCCTCAGGGAACCAGAGCTGGCCATGCTGGCGCCGACGCTTGCGGGACAGCAGGACCCCGCAGCCCACGAAGAACAGGAGCACGAAGGCAGCCCCGATCAGGTACATGAGGTGCAGCTGTGAGGGTGGCGGCGGCTCCACGGTCTCACCTGCGGGCAGCGGCCCGGGCAGCGCCCGGCGTCAGTGCGGCTGTGCGGCGGCTGGGGCGGCGGACTGGCTCAGCAGCGGCCGGCGCCTCCTCACCCCCCCTCCTCCGTCCCGCCCCCCAAAATAAGGTCATTTTCTACGCGATTCATCAGAATTGCAAACTATCGCTAAATTCTCTCCTGTACCAGCGGCCGTCTGGAGACGGCTTTCGCTCTCTCCCCTTTCAGGGAGGAGGATTAGCCAACTCCAAATCGCTGGACTCGTATTGAGCTGTTAAGACAAAGGATTTAGGGGGATTTTGAAGATACAAACTTCAACACTTCACATGACACCGATCAATTCTTCCCTCTCTCTTTTTAAAAAAACCTATAATGATTTTGAAATAATACCCCACAAAGAAAAATCAGGGAGACAGGGTGGGGATAGCAGAAGCTCCCCTCTCCTGGTGGGCATGCTCGTCCCCTGGGCCAGCTCCCCGGGCAGCTGTCACCACTATTGGGAAGGTATGCTGTCCAGAAAATTCTGGAAAAGTGCTCCCTGAGCTGACAGCAGGACACCCGCCGCGGTGGCTGCTGGGACTGGGACACTCACTCTGCACGGCCTCGATCTTGTAAGGGATGTTGAGGCTGCCCAGCGAGGCCAGTGCCCCCAGAAAGGCGGCCACGTCAGTGGCACTCTGGAAACACTGCGAGGACAACTGTACACACTGCCGGTTGTCGATCTCCAGGTAGACAATGGACCTGTGGACACAGGCACACAGGCTCGGAATATACACCACCACCCAGGCCACTGCCCCCCACCTCCGGACCATCCTGCCAGCAACCCTGGGGTAGACGGTACCCGACAGCCCATCCAAGGATGTCCCAGTGCCACATGTCGGCACAGTGCACGCAGGCATTCACCACGGACCCCTCCAGGGTCCTGTGGGTGTCACAAATGCCTACTCTCCTCACCTTGGGAGGGCATAGTCCATCCTGAGGAGCCCGCGCCCGCCCTGGGGCTGCACTGATGCCTCGCAGCAGGCAGAGGGGTGCAGCAGGGCTGGGAGCCCCTCAGACCTCCGCAGGGATGGGTAGGAGGTGGTGGGCTCACAATGACAGGCGCGTGGCCACACACTGGCCAGGACACACACCAGAACCAGCCTCCCCCCACAGGGTTGCAAATTGGCCTCATGACAGATGTCCCTGGCCAGCAAGGCCATGACTGGCAAACTCACAGGGTCAGGGCACACCAAGGTACCCCAACCTGGCTCCCTGGCCCCATCACCCAGCACAAATATGTTAAGTAGGCATGGGAGGAGGCTAGTGGGACACCCCCCCACAACTGTAGGGGGGTGACAGGCCCAGCCCAGGCGGTGCTGCAGCCCCCAGGCGACCGTGCTGTGCCACATGCTACTGGGGCTGCAGCCCCTGAGCCTTGACCGCACGGGACCTGAGTGCCCAGGTCCTCCTGGATCTCCTCTCTGTGCCATAAACTGGGGCACGTGTGGCTTCTGGGCCATGCCTATGCCCCGGGACTCACCCGCGGATGTCCATGGGGTCCAGCTCCCGGCGCCGGCGCCCACTGTCCTCACTGGGGAGCAGCGAGGCCGCAGCCCGGCCCAGCAGGGTGTCAGGTGTGGCCCAGCCCGGGGCAGAGCGCTTGATGGGGTGCTTGCGCAGCTCCTCCTCACGGCCGTAGTAGGGGAAGATCATCTGCTGGCCCTGCGCATCGCGCTTGAAGACCACGTTGGTGTGCAGCACGCGGCTGAGCTCACGCAGGAAGTGGAAGGAGTGATTGCGGAGCTGCTCGGGAGGCAGCAGGACCACCAGCACCAGTGTGCCGGCCGCCAGCCGCTCGGGCACGTGCTCCGCGCAGTCCAGGCCGTCCCACTCGCACTCAGCGCTGTTGCAGCCCTGGTCGCAGTGCCCGTCGCTGAAGTGGTCCTTGCAGTACTGGTCATACAGGGGGCTGCGGGGCCAGGGCAGGCTCAGGCCACGTTCTGGCTGGCCTCACGTCCACCCCGAGGCCGAATGCCCTCTCCACCCGCCACCCGCCTGCCCCCGGCCCTTGGCCAGCGTCGGCTCCGCCTTACTTGCACTGGCCTTCTGTGTGCTGGCAGTCGAAGCCGTCGAAGAGGCAGCCGGCCGAGCTGCACTGGCTGTCACAGCGGCCGTCATTGAAGTACTTCCAGCACTGCAGGGACTGCAGACAGTTCTTCCATGGGTCGTTGAAGTTGAGCGAGCAGTCGCCGCCGTCCCAGCCGCAGGCGTGGTTGTTGCACTGCAGGCTGCAGACCTTGTTGCCTGCATCCTCCTGGCACTCGGGCAGCTCGCAGGCCTCCTCGACCTGCGGCGGGGGGATGTCGCGCCCGGCGCCGCCTGCGAAGCTGTAGTCCAGGATGTGGCACAGAAGCCCGTTGAACTTGGCAGGGCACAGGCAGCGGTAGAAGGGGCTCTCGGCGGTGGGCTCACAGGTCCCCTGGTTGTAGCAGGGGTTGCTGCCCACGCAGGGGCTGCTGGCTGGGAACTGGCACTCGGGGCCCGTGAAGGCACCCAGGCACAGGCAGGTGGGGCTGCGCGGGCCAGAGATGCACGTGCCGCCATTGAGGCAGCGCAGGTTGCCGCACGTGCGGGCATCATTCTCACAGGTGGCGCCCTCGAAGCCCTGCAAGAGGGGAGGCGGGCAGGCTGTCGGGGCAGCCACTCTCCACTCACCCAAGTACCTGGTCCAAGTGCTACGGCAGCCCTGCCTAGGGACATCTGCAGTCTCCCCAACAGCCCTTACCACAGTCTCAGACTGGGAAAAGGTCCAGGGTTAGGGAGAGGGAACGGGGCCCTGGAACGCTTAGGGCCCCGACATGCTCCAGGGTGGCACTGTGGTGGCTAATGCATGTCCTTACACACAAGCCCAGACCACGGGGTCTTGGCCCCAGAGCAACCCTCGTCTAAGCCCTGCTGGCCACAGCCCACCCACCACACAGTTCGAGGTCTGAGTCGCACGGGCCACGCGGGGTTGAGAGAAAGGGCACTCCTCTGCCTTCCGTGTGAATTTTCTGCAGACTGAGACTGCTCTAAAGTAGCTCATGAACGTTTTAGAGAACAAGCCTGGGGAATGAGGACGAGGACAGCTTGTCCTGCGCACAGGACCTCTGCGCAGCTCAGGGGCCGGCACTGTACCTACCGCAGGGCACCTGCAGATGAAGCCGCGGGCAGTGTTGGCGGCCACGGCACAGGCGCCCCCATTCCTGCAGGGCTTGCCCTTGCAGCCATCGATGACAGACTCACAGCGGCGCCCTGCAGGGGTGGACAGAGGTGGTGAGGGGCAGGCCCGCCCTGGCGGGCCCCACCCCGGGCTCCTGGCCTGTGCGCAGCAGCACCCACCGGTGTGGCCCGCACGGCATTCACAGTGGAAGTCATTGACACGCTGCACGCAGTTCTGGGTGCCACGGGCATCACATGGGTTGCTCAGGCACTCATTGACGTCGCCTTCGCACCGCTCACCAACGAAGCCGGGTGGGCAGGTGCAGGTATAGCCGCCCACCTGGTCCACGCAGGTGCCGTTGTTAAAGCACTTGGGGCTGCGGGAGGCCAGATCGAGGAGTGGGCTGCAGTCGTCCACGTTGATCTCACAGTGCACACCTGCAGGGTGACTTCTCCATCAGGGACGTGGGGCTGTGTCCACCCCTGCAGTCCCGCAGCCGAGGGTGACAGTGCAGCACAGCCTCCCTCCTGTGGGGACCCTTCTTGGCGGGGGTCGTGCTGCCTGCTTCCCCTATGCCCTACTCACCCTGCGTGCCCCGAGGGCAGGAACACTTGTAGGTGTTGGTGAGGTCGATGCAGGTGCCCCCGTTCTGGCAGGGCTGGGACAGGCACTCGTTGATCTCCTCGGAGCAGTTAGCCCCATGGTAGCCAGCTACACACTGCACGGACAGAGGGCAGGTAGGTATCACCTGGGGCTGAGTGTGTCCTGGCTCAGGGCCAGCAGACTGGCCCTCCTGCTCAGGAGGGGGCCATGGCAGTGGCTGGGACTGTCTAGTGGCAGACAAGGGCAGTCGGGGCTCAAGAGCCATCCCACTGCCCAGAGTCCTCCTCCTCCTCCTGCGGGCAGGCTTCCCTATGCCAGGCCCTCCTGGACACAGCCGCACTACCCAGGGCTTCCAGGGTCGGTGTCCCTGCTACGCCAGGACCCTCCGCACCTTGCAGGAGTAGCCGCCCAGGTAGTCAGTGCAGGTGGCCCCATTCTGGCAGGGGCTGGGTGAGCACTCGTCCACCTCTTCCTCACAGTAGCTGCCTGTGTAGCCGGCCTGGCAGCGGCAGTGGTGGGTGTTGCCTGCATCGACACAGAGTCCTCCGTGCTGGCAGAGGTGGGCGACGTCGATGCCTGCAGGGACAAGGCAGGGAGTGAGGCCTGGGCACCTTGCTCAGCCTGCCCCTGCCCTCCTGGGCCCTGGGCTGGGACCAGCTCTGACCTTGCTGCTGGGCGGCCACCTCACAGGAGACACTGGGCACATCGCAGTAGAGGCCGGTCCAGCCGCTGTGGCACTCGCAGCGGTACAGGGTGCTGGTCTGCCAGCACTGGCCCCCGTTTTTGCAGGGGGAGGAGTCACACCAGCGCACAAGGTTCTAGGGATGGACTGGGGTCAGCCCCTTACCACCTGCAGCCTGGGTGTCGTTGGGGCACGCTCGCGCTGTGCCCGCCCCGCACTGCCTAGGCTGCTCAGCACCCACATTAGCCACAGAGCCTCAGGTCCAGCATGCACTGCGGCCCCACTCAAGGTAGAAATGGATGGGGGCCCCACAAACCCTCCCAGCCCCCACTGAGCCCTGAAAAGCCTGGGAAACCCGGGCTCAGGTCCCCCTCTGCCCTGAGCACCTCCATGGACTGGCCTCAGCCTGGCCCTCCACCCCGAGCCTGGGCAATGCCCTGTTCCGCCCCTCTCACCAGCATCTCCACAGCCCTGCTCACCTGGCAGTTGAGGCCAGTGTAGCCCTGTGGGCAGGTGCATTTGTAGGTGCCATAGCTGTCCTGGCAGGTGCCACCATGCAGGCAGGGCCGAGAGTCACACTCATTGATATCATGCTGGCAGTAGCTGCCCGTGAAGCCAGGTGGACACAGGCAGGTGAAAGAATTGATGCCGTCCACGCAGGTGCCACCATTGAAGCAGGAGCTGGAGACAGGTAGGTGGCAAGGGAGGGCGTGAGCAGACACCTCACACTGCATGCCCCAGCACGAGCACACCACCTCCCGCTGCCGCTTTGCCTTTCATCATAGCTCAGGAAGCATGGGGCTTGAGGACACGTTCAGGTATATGGCGGGGCCACAGCTAGGATCAGACACCCCCAAAGGTGCGTGTGCTTGCAGGTGGGACTTGGGAAGGATTAATCCACAGATGAGTTACAGCTGGCTTGCTGTGAGCAGGCGGCCTCGCCATAAGTGCCCACTGTGGGGGTGACCTGGAAGACCCACGTGTCCTTTCTTCCCCCTCTGCTTCCTGCCTGCAGGAGCTGAGCAGCTCTGCTTTGTCCTTCCGCGGGCCAAGCTCTGATGACACCTCTGGGCCAGAGTAAATCTCCCTCCTTGAAGCTGTCTTTCTCTAGTGTTTTATTCTGGGGACGTGGGGCTGACTAGCACAGGTGGGTGAGGCTCCTGTAAGAGGGGCCAGAGCTATGCACGAATGGGAGACAGCTCTCGCAAGCCAGGCGCTGTGTGGCACCAAGGCCACGGGGGAGCGAGGTGGGCTAAGACAGTCCTGCCTGTGAGCAGCACTGCCAGCCCCTCGGGCGAGCCACGGGGATCTGGGTTCTAGGTCACGGCCCTCTGGGGGCAGACGCCTGCCTGGCGTCCCCAGCTGCCAGGCACTGCCTGCAGCCGCGTGTCTGCTCTGCGCCGCTGCTACCGCATGTCCCAGGCGCGCACCTCTCCGTGCAGTCGGGTGTGTTGTTCTCACAGTGGATGCCATTGAAGCCCACGGGGCAGGTGCAGGTGTAGCTATTCACGCAGTCGGTGCAGTTGGCACCGTTGCGGCAGGGGCTGCTGGCACACTCATTGATGTCCTCCTCGCAGAAGGCGCCCTGGAAGCCAGGCTGGCAGTTGCAAAAGGCGGTGTTGACACCATCCGTGCAGGAGCCCCCATTGTGACAGGGGTCTGAGGGAAACAGGAGGACAAGCCTGACGGTGTGTACCACCCACCCCTTGGGGACAGATGAAATGTGCAGGCAGCACAGCCCTGCAGGTGGCAGCCCTGTGGGCAGGCCTCGAAGCCCCTGGTGTGGGTTCTGAGGTCCTGGTTCTTTTGGGGGCCTGGGGGCGGGGGAGAGAGTTTTACCAGCTCAACAGACCAGTCAAGGGTCCTCCAACACAGCCAGCCCTGCCTCTTGCTGCTGGGTGATACCAGGCCAGGCCCTCTGCTTTCCAAGTTCTGGGCATCAAATGTGAGGTACTCCTCCAGTGAGCTACATCCCTGGCCTTCTAAATTTGTATCTTGTTTAAAGACAGGATCTTGCTAAGTTGCTCAGGTGGGACTTGAACTTGCAGTCCTACTGCCTCAGCTTCCTTAACTGCTAGGATTACAGGCACGCACCACTGATCCCGGCTTGAATCTCAGCTTCCTACAGCACAGGACCAGCTAGTCCTGCCCCTTGGTGGGGCTGCATCAAGGCTGACTCAGGCAGGAGCACAGGCAGACACCCTGCACCACCACCACCCTGGGGAGCACTAAGCTGGCGGCTGGGAAGGGGTCCGCTGTGTGAGGCCCCCGGTGGACCAAGCCTGGGCTCAGCCCGTCTAGGTCCCCACAGCGGATGCTGCCCGGGCCGGCCACTGGCCGGGAGCTACTCTCCCGTCTGCCGCAGGACTCCCACCCATGCCCCTGGTAACCGGGCACTCACTGGGCCGGCAGTCATCCACATCCGTCTCGCAGTCTCGCCCCGTGTAGCCCGCCTGGCAGTGGCACCGGTAGTCCCCGTCGGTGTTCTGACACGAAGCGCCGTTGCGGCACGGGCTTTTCACGCACTCGTTGATGTCGACCTCACAGGTCTGCCCTGGGTGGGGAGGTGGCCGACTGGTCAGCCTCGGCCTCTGCCTCTGGGCCTTGCCCTGGCTTCAGGATCCACCCACAACGCCTCTTCCCTGCCCCCTCCAGCTGTTCTCGGCCAAAGAACTGCCCCGTGCCCCAATCTGGGGTCAGGAAAACTACAGGCGTGCAGGGCAGGAAGACCAAGGCCAGTTCCAGCTCTGCAGCTCCCTGAGTACCAGGTCAGGGGGCCCCAGGGCTGCCCACTCCCTGCCCAGCTCAGTTGGGACCAGGCCAGCCTCACCCTGCCAGCCACTGGGGCAGACACAGGAGAAGCTCTCGTAGTCTGCGGACTCCTTGCACACCCCGCTGTTCTTGCAGGGGCTGGGAGCACACGGGGCCAGCACCACCTCACACGTGGCTCCTAGGGAGAGACACTCGGTGAGGCTTGGGAGACGGGCATCTTGAGTGGCGCCAGCAAGTCGTCCACCGGCCCTGCCTGCCAGTCTGTCCACTGCCAGCACCCGCAGCTGGCCCTGCAGTGAGCAGCCGACAGGGCCCACCAGGTCCGGATCCTGGGGAGAAGCGGGTGGGTGCGGACGGGGATGCTAAGGACAAGGCAGACAGGTGTGCTCTGAAGTCACCTCTGCACACCTGTGGGCCACAGGCGGAGCGTGGGCCTCGGCCTCGCCCTGCCAGAGGGCTCAGGCACAAGGCTCCCCACCCCGTCCCAGGCTCCTTATGATGAGGAAAAGCCCTTAAGCTGACTGAGCTCTGCGTCAAGGAGGCCAACGAACTGGGCTGTGACAGAGGGACAAGGTGTGGCGCCAAGATCCTGGGCACGTCCTCGAAGAGCATGGGGCTCGTCTCAGGCCCTCAGGCTGGGTGGGAACCTGGCAATGGCTCGGGGGGCTGTGCACCACGGTGGCCCCCGCAGCCCAGGTCAGCTTCCTGTTGACGGTGCAGGGCTGGCCCCCGAGGAGTGAGGGAGCAGTGTCTTCCTCGTCTCCCATGTCCCCGGCCTGCTGGTGTGACTTTCCAGGCCCTGCTATCAGTTTCCACAGTGACCCAGCCAGGCAGGAACTTCGCCAGAGTTTCCGACAATTGTGCAGAGGAAGCAGGAAGAGGGCAGGCAGGAAGCGGGTCAGCACGGCCGTCCTCCCACCCGCCCACCGCTATCAGTGCGCCCAAGAGGGACGAAGGCGCACCCGGCCACTGAGAGCTCTCACTGACCAACAGAGACAAAGTCCAGGCCCCTAACTAAGGTCAAAGCAAACAGTCTCCTGGCCTTGGGCAGTGGGTGTCATGGGAACGTGGCACCCCCACCCCACCCCACCCCACCCCTGGCCTAGCCCGGCCTGGGCAGCGTCTTCTGCCCACTGCGGGGACTGCCGTGTCAAATGCCTTGCACAGCTCTCCAACAGAGACCGTTTCCTGCGACCTCTTTGGCGGTACCCGCAGCAGGGGCTGGACACTCTGGGAAGCGGCTCCTGCCTTGCTCAGCACCAACAGAGAGCTCCTTGTTCCCAGCACAAAGAAGCTGCCGTCAAAAGAATCCCCCAGGCCTGGCTGGCAGGGCGGGCAGTCCAGCCCCCAGAGATGACAGGAACCCATTGATGAAGACCTCAGCCTGACCTGGGCACTGCCCTCCAATGGTTGCTTGGCCTCTCGCTGCCACAGGTGCCAGAGGATGTGTCTGGGACACACCTGTGTCTGTCTGCACCTCTGCCAACCCCTCAGCAAGAGCAGCCCCCACACCGGCCGCAGAGCTGCCGCATCCACACCTGTGTAGGGCAGCAGGCAATTGCACTTGTACCCAGCCACGTCATCGATGCACGTGCCCTGGTTCAGACACGGGTTGGACGCACACTCATTGATGTTGGTCTGGCAGTTGGGGCCTAGAGAAGGGGTGGTGGTCAGTGTGTCACCCAGGGCCCCACGCCACCCCAATCCCTCAGAGGCCAACACTGGAAGATGTGCACACCATGCAGGTCCCGGCCCTCCCCAGGGCCCATGTATGGCACCCCAGCTCACCACTGAAGCCCTCCCGGCATGTGCATACGTAGCCGCTGGTCATGTCTCTGCAGGTGCCGCCATTCACACAAGGGTTGGACTCGCACTCGTTGTTGTTGATGTCACAGTTTGTCCCGCTCCACCCGGGGTCACAGTCACACCAGTACCTGGAGGAGTGACCACACCACAGGTCAGCATGGGGCTGAGCTTTGGCATAAGATGCCCATCCACCAGGATGCTTGCATCCTTTGAAGTGAATGCAGTGGCAGCCCCGCCCGAGATGGGGGCAAGAGTTCTGACACCTCGGGTGCAGGGTTGGGCCTCAGTGACACTGGGGTGCAGCAGGGCCTTCCCACGCTCCATCACCCTTCTCTGTGCACAGCAGCGTAAGTGGCTCCTCCCAGGGGATTCAGGAGTGGGCAGGAATGCCCACATCATGAGTGCTCTTGGGTCCCGAGTGACGCAGTGGTCCATGAGGACACCACCTGGGCTACCTACGGGCAGCATAGCATGGCCTACCCATTGAGGCTGTCCCGGCAAGTCCCGTGTATGCAGGGGTTGCTGCTGCACTCATTGACCTCGGACAGGCATGTGGGGTCATGGTAGCCCTCGGGGCAGCGGCAGGTGAAGCTGTTGATGCCATCCTCACAGGTGCCGCCGTTGTGGCAGGGGCTGCCGGCACACTCATCGATGTTGATACTGCACATGCTCCCTGCAAGGAGAGGCCGGGGTCTCAGACGAGCCTCCGTTCCCCCCGCAGCTGGTGCCAGCCACACCCTTGAAGCCCGCTCCCTCCTGCCTTGCTCCCAGCATGCCTCTGACGACGAGGGTAAGGGCACTGGGTGGGCCGCAGGGTGTCTGGCCCTGAGCAGGGACAGGAGCGTGGCTCTCCCTGGCCTCTGGTCCCTGCTATGGTCAGCTGAGCCTGGCAGCCGGATGGCATCCCTCTGTTGGTTCTGCCTGTCTCCTGGAGATCCCTCACCTGTGTAGCCCGGCTCACAGGCACACTCGTAGCCATCGATCTTGTCGAGACAGGTGCCTGCGTCACAGGGGCTGCTTGCACAGTCATCCAGGTTGATCTCACAGTTGGGTCCTGCGGGCGTGGAGGCGTGGGGCGGTCAGCTCTGGGGCTCCACCCACGCTGCCCACTGCACCCGCCAACTGCTGGCCCTGGCCAGACACCTGTGGTCCCCTTGAGGCAGAGGCAGAGGTAGGAATTGTCACGGTCCTGGCAGGTGCCCCCATGGCGGCAGGGCTGGCTGGCACACTCGTTGATGTTGGTCTCACAGTGGTGGCCGGTGTAGCCCGGCTGGCAGAGGCAGGTGAAGGCAGCGACACCGTCCTTGCAGGAGCCGTAGTGGCAGGGGTCAGGGTCACACTCGTTGACGTCCACCTCGCAGTGCGTCCCCGTGTAGCCTGTGTCACAGGAGGGCTCTGGGCCAGCTGCTCCCTGAACCTGTGGCCACCCCACTTGGGAAGCCACAACCCAGAGCAGCTCACAGCGCCTCCTTGGGCAGGGCCCCAGGCAGGCCTCCCTTCCCTCCTGAGCCGGCGCTGAGCTCTGCTCCCAGCCTGCGCGGCCCTGCCCGCCCCAGCCTGCGCGGCCCTGCCCGCCCCAGCCTGCGCGGCCCTGCCCTCACCTTCTGTGCACACGCAGGTGTAGGTGTTGGGCCCATCCAGGCACTTGGCGCCGTTCCTGCAGGGCGTGCTGGCACACTCGTCCACATCATACTGACACAGGTGCCCACTGAAGCCTGTGGCCAGAGGTCAGCGTCACAGATGGTTGGTGTTCCCAACCGGGTCCTGGCCCAAGCGTGGCGGCAGGCCCGGCTTTTCCCCTCCCTTGGCCCACTGCTGGGCAGTGACCAGTGGGCTGCCTACCCTTGCCCCCAAAGCAGCCTGTTTCCAATCCCCTGGTTGCTATGGCAACAGCCACGCATGGGCTCCCCTGCGGCAGCTGATTAACATCCTAAGGGAGCCAAAGCCCAGCCCTAGGCCTCGGCAGATGAGGCCGCTCTCCATGGAGGGCGCTGTTCGCCGTACCTCCTTCTGGCCCCCCCACAGTCTGAAGGGGTACAGTCTCTCACCGAGGAGCTACCCCATTAGGAGGGGTGTCCAGCACCGTGCTTCCCGTATCTGGCACACCCCGCAGTGGGCTGTCCAGGAAACACCCTCCAACACTCCCAAGTGGCCCCCAGAAGAACCGGCGCAGGGCAGGGGCGCAGGGAGGGGCGGGCGGGCTGACCGGTGGGACACTCGCACAGGAACCCGCTGACCCTGTCCAGGCAACGCCCGTTGTGCAGACAGGGGCTGCTGGCACACTCGTCCGTGTTGACCTCGCAGTACACGCCCTCATATCCTGAGGAGACAGTGAGGTCCTGGACTGCCTCAGTGGCCCCGACTATGGTGCCTCTGCTGGGGGTCTGGGACAGAGGGCATCCAAACCTCTGTGGCAACTCCCACGGTGCCCAGCCTGCTGCATCCACGAGGCCCCGGCCCACTCCCTGCTGTGCCCTGTGAACCTGCGTTGGTTTTCCCAGATGACCCCGGAGGCCAAGGCCTGGGGAGCATTGAGACTAGGGGAGAGGCAAGGCCAGGAGGCCCCCAGGGCCTGTGCTGGGCCCTGTGCGGGACGTGCTGCCTACCAGGCATGCAGATGCACTGGAACTCCCCGATCTGGTCCAGGCAGGTGGCGTCGTTCTGACAGGGGTTGGAGATGCACTCGTTGACGTCAATCTCACAGCGGGGGCCCGTGTAGCCCTGCAGACACTGGCACTCGAAGGAGCCCAGCGTGTTGATGCACTTGCCCGCGTGCTCACAGGGGTTGGCGCCTGCAGGGGGTGCCGGTGAGAGGCTGCAGCAGCCCACCCCAGCGACGGGAAGCCCTTCCATCCCGAGCTCCCCACAGGCCTACCCAGAGCACACTCATCCACGTCCTGGCTGCAGGCCGGGCCTGAGTACCCCGAGGGGCAGGTGCAGATGGCCTTGCCATTGACGGGGTTGGTGTCACAGTTGGAGCCCTCGTTGCAGGGGTTGCTGATGCAGGCATCATTCAGGTGGCACAGCAGGCCTGGGGGCACAGCGGTGGAGCTCAGCAGCACGGCCCTCCGCTGGGCCGGTCCCTTCCACGTGCCCCCTAGGAGAGCCCCATCACAGCCCCCTCAAGCTCCGGGGCCCGTGGCCATGGCTGCTCACCTGTACGGCCGTGCGGGCACTCGCAGTAGAAGGAAGCCACACGGTCGTGACAGGTGGCACCATTGAAGCAGGCAGCGCTGGCACAGTCATCGATGTTCTCACTGCAGTCTTCACCCGTCCAGCCATTGACACACACGCAGTTGTAGCCGCCGTGGGTGTTGTGGCAGGTGCCACCATTCTGGCAGGCATTGGGCATGAGCTGACACTCGTCCACGTCTTCTGTGCAGTACTGACCTGCAGGGCCCAGGAATGTCAACCCCAAGGCCACCCCAAGAAGCGCTCCAGGACTGGCTCTTCCCCCTGCAGCTGCCCCCATCCCCATCTGGCACCACGGGGAGACATCACCCCCATTTTGGGACTGTGAGTATCTGCCCTTGCCTGTTACCCCACCAGGGAGCACCCAAGGGCTGGGCTTGCGCCCATCTAGCCCAGCGTTCTTCCCATGACCAGCCCAGCAGGACTGGGCTGGACGTTTATCCTCCGACCCACATGCCAGGGGCCAGAACGGCATACCACAGCTGTGCAGATCTACAGTGGGCACCGCAGGCACCACTCCTGACAGCAGCCACCCCGATACTATCCTTTTGGGCTCCAGGCCTGGCCCCTGTGCACCCCAGAAAGCTGAGGGCTGCACCGCAGCCACGCTCCCAACAGCCTGCCCACCTGGCCCAACCCTAACTGGAAGCTCAAGCTGGGTGGGGCCCAGGCCGCAGCCCACAGCAGTGCTCCAGCTAGGCCACGCCCCTCGCAGCTTGCCCGCCGCTTGCCCAGAGGTGGCCTGCCCTCCATGCCCAAGCCACACCCTGCCTACTCGCCTGTCCACTCCGGAGGGCAGCGGCAGTTATAGGTGTTCACACCGTCGACACAGGCACCTCCATTCCTGCAGCTGTTTCCCGGGCAGTCGTCCACGTTCTCCTCGCAGTCCTGGCCAGTGAAGCCTGCCAGAGGGGCCCCAGGTCAGCCCCTGCCTTGGGGGTCCTGGGCCTGGCCTGGAGGCTCCGAGACCTTGACCCTCTGTGCCAGTGTACCCATGAGGCTCTGCTTGGGCCAGGAGGGCTGTCTGGCTCTGGCGCTGGGCCCTGAGACCAGGCAGGCGGTGCCCGTGCCCACAGATGACAGCCTGTGGACTGTCTGCATGGCCTCAGTGTGAAGGGCTGGCGTGCCAGCAGGGACCCAGGAGATCCCGGAGCTGTGGCCACAACCCCTCCTGCCTCACAGGCTTTCAGAGGCTCTGGAAACAGCATCCCAGTGTGCTGGGGACTCTATGCCATCCCTGGGGAGAGACGAGTGGCCCTGCTCAGCCATGAAGTGGATGGAGGCTTGAGAGTAGAGCCTGACGGCCCTGCTCTTCCCACACAGCCACCCTGAGGTGCAGCCGGCCGCTCGGCCCCGGAGGACCTCCTCAGCAGCCAGTTAGCTATTAATCGACTCAACTCCCGCCAGATCAATGATCAGCCCAGAAAGGCATCCGGCAACAGCCCAACCTGCAGCCGGTTACTAATTAACACCCCACCGGGATGCTGTTGACCCCTCCTGCCCCGAGAGCCCCACTACACCTGTCTGCTCCTCCATCCAAGACCCCCACCCCACCAGCTGCGGCAAAGCCAGAGGCTGGGAAAAGCCGGAATACAACTGGACACAGGCTGGGGAAGCATCCTGACTCAGATCCAGGGTCATCGGATGTCTTCCTGGGACTCAGGGCTGGGCAGGGGCCAGCGTGACTCCAAATCCCAGCCTGGGCCAGGCCTTCAGGCCCCCCGATGGCTCCCCAGGTGGGCACGACCTGGGCTGAGTGCCATCAGCAGGTGCTGAGCTGGCCCTCACCTGAAACAGCCCAGCTTGGCATGGGATGGTGGCCGTGGCCTCCTCAGCCCCCCAGACTCCGAGAACCACGCTTTCCTCCCTCTCAGCCCCCAGCTGCACCTGGTTTTCACCTCGCACTCCCCAGGAGGGGCGGGCACCAGCTCCATGCCTGGGGTCCTCCAGCAAGGGCACTCCTGCTGCTCCCCAGCTTGTCTCGGCCCCAGCAGAATGCAGCCCCTCAACCCATGAGGCTCACAGAGGTACGGGGTCACGGGGCCACCGAGGATGGAGGCAGGGAGCAGCCTGCCTCACACATCCACTTGCTGAGGACCTTTGGGAAGTGCAAGGCCTGGGCTGGCCCCAAGGCCTGGGCTGGCCCTGCAGGCTGTGGAAACAGCCAGCTTCCCCTTTGCAAGGGCTGCTATGCCCCAGCATGGTGCAAGCCTGGGTTTACCTCCAGGGCAGCTGAGGCCCTGTGTGCCCCAGCACCCAACCCAAACCCCTTTCCTCCTAACTGCCAGGAGTACAGCTGACAGAGTGAGGCTATAGCAAAGACTACCCCGGAGGAAAGAGACACGCCTAAAACTTGGTTCCCAGGCCCCAGGGGAAGCCTGGGAGCCACCCAGACCAGGCGCTTCCTCTGCAGCCAGAGTCCTGCAACTCTTGTGTGTTTTAGGAAATTGGAGAACGAGTGGCCCAGGGCAGCCACAGGGGACTCCACATGGGGCCCACCGGGGGAGGGCATGCCTGTCCCAGAGGCCAGATAGATGGAAGGAGCTCAGGGGTCTTGGACCCAGGACCAGGTCTCAGCAAACCATACCCCTGGGCAGAAAGGGCCGGAGATAGGCAGTGCTGCTACAGGGTGTCTAGCTGGGGCCCTGGCCTTGCGCCCACCTCCAAACGGGCACCCCATGCAGCCCGCTGGATGGCTTCCTCCACACACACCATTCCAAGCCCCTGCCCGCTCATGCCCAGTCCTATGGCCACGGGGGCTGACATACCTGGCAGGCAGGCACATTCATGGGTGGTCTCCCCTGTGGGGCGGCAGGTGCCCCCATTCTGGCAGGGCGAGGGGCTGCAGGGCACGTAGGGCAGCTCGCAATGGCTGCCAGTGTGCGTGGGGCGGCAGGAGCAGCGGTAGGAGCCCACCTCATTGTGGCAGGTGCCCCCGTGCCGGCACAGCCCTGGTGTCTGGCTGCACTCGTTCACGTCCTGCCGGCAGGTGGGGCCGTGGAAGCCCGGCCGGCAGCCGCAGATGTAGGAGGTCTCGAAGGGCAAGCAGTGGCCACCATTGGCACAGGGATTGGAGGCACATGGGTCAGCCTGCTGGCACGACTTTCCTGGGGTTGATGGGGGGAGGGGTCAGGCTAGCCACCGCGCTCCTAGGGCCGCGGTCTCCCTGGGAGGCTGGGGACAGCTTTGGGCACTGCGGAGGGACCACCGGGATTGACCAAGGCTGTGACCATCAACTTTCTATAACCAAGGGCCCCAAGAATCCAAATGACCACCCAAGGACAGGGTCAGCAAGGGCGACACAGGCCACTGGAGAGTCAGGAGGGGACCCAACCTTTACAGACCATATGCTTGCATGGCAAGCAGAGGCAGGCCCTGGGTCACCCCGGGGACCATGTGGCTGTGGGGGCTCAGCCATCCCGATACCTCACCTGACCAGCCTGGGGGACAGCGGCACTTGTACTCTGCAAGTGTGAGCAGGTCACAGGTGCCCCCATTGCGGCAGGGCCCAGAAAGGCAGGCATTGTCCAGGGGCGTCAGGCACAGGGGCCCAGAGAAGCCCAAGGGGCAGCTGCAGGTATAGTCCACGGCGCCACCTCGGTCCACCACGTGGCAGGTCCCAGCATTCTTACAGGGGCTGCTGAGGCAGGGGTTGGAGTCCTGGCATCGCTGGCCCACGTAGTCCCCGCTGCAGCTGTCAGGAGACACGCGGGGTGTTAGCTCCCCACTCGCCCTGACCATCACAGCCTGGTCAGACTCGTCCACAACCTGCCGGCAGGTGGGGCCCCGACCCCAGGGAGTATGCGCAGCCAGGTATGGGCCCAGAACCAGGCCGGAGGGCTGCAGGCCGGCAGAGGTCCCTCAGAGCGGGAGGCACTCTAGGGCTGGACAGGAAGGGCTGGGAGACGGCGGTGCCCAGGACACTGCAGCAGCTCACACTGCAGCAGTCAGTCCTGCTCTGAACTTCACCTCCGCAGAGAGAAGCACAAGGGATCGGAACAGGCCGTGCAGAGCCTGGATGCTGTAGCAAGGCCTCCTGGGGCTCAAGCCCGGCAGGTGTGCTGCCAGGCACAGCCTTCTGGAGAGGGAGGCAGAGGGCTGAGCTCCCTCGAGCCCCCTGCTGCCCAGGAGGTTGCCCACCCCCTCGCTCTAGCTTCTTTGTGCTGAATATGCATCAGCATGCAGAAGAGTTCACGGCTTCTTCGACTTTCAAACATCGATGCCTCAGCAGAGGTGGGAAGCAGCATGGGTGTGCACAAGAGCAGTGGAGCCTCTTCCCTCCACTGAGCCCTCTCACAGGCAGCCTCTGCCCCCTGCCTCAACTTCCCCTCCGATTCCAAGATTTCATGGCACACAGCAGCCAAGAACGTTACAGCCCGGGAACCTGAGGTGCCTCCAAGGTTGTCCCCACGGGACCATGAGGCAGTCCTGCCCCACCCAGGAGCAGGTCCAAGCCCCAGCAGAAGCGGACAGGCAGGGAGACACCTGCTTCCAGGCTGGTCTCACGTGTTCCCTGCAGGGACAGGCTTGGCATCTGCCACCCGCCCCTCCCCCCACAGCTGCCTCGGCCACCTGCTGGCCTCCTGAGAGGCCCATAAATCGCTGGCCTTGTCCCTCCAGGCCTCATCCCCTGGGGGCTCTGGGAGCAGCCAGACCTCACTCTTCCCACCGGAGAAGCCTCTGAGGCAGAACGCGCTGGCCTGGCAGAGCCCGGGCCGGGCATGCAGGAAAGGTCTCCTCCCACCTGCAGGCCACCTGAGTCCCGTCCTGCCTTCCAGAGCCACACCTGGGGACTGCCACCGCCTGTCCCAGGACCACATCCCAACACCAGAAGCTGTGGCTGCAGACTACACCCAGGCACCCCAACCCCATGCTGCACTGACTCCAAGCCTCTCCCGGGGACCATGCCCCACAAACTCCAGCCTACTGGCGCTTGACTGCTCCTGTGTGTGCAGGAGACATGAAACCCACAGGCAGGGTTTGTTTGGGGCTACCCGGGGAGCGCCCCAACCCATGGCACTGACGGCCATCTCTGGGGCAAGATCCTGCTGGCTACTCCTGGTCCCAGAGGCCTGGGAAGCCTCCGTCTTCCCTGGAGTCTTGCATCTGGGCCTGAGCTTGGGTGGGGAGGATGCAAAATGGCCACTCTGGCCGACCACCTGTTGCCAGAAGCCAAAAGTCCCCAACCAACTGGTCTAAAGAAAACAAACCGCCCCACCCCCGGGGAGTTCACTCAGGCCCTGCATGGGAAGCCAGGAAGCGGGTGGCCCTGGAAGGGGAGGCAGCTCACGTGGAGTCAGTGTCACACCTGCCCCTGGTCACCACAGGCCCCGCAAGGCCACCCTTGGGCAGAGAGGGGCGCAGGCACAGCCCCCGCTGCACCAGGATCCAGTGACGGCCAGCCCAAGTGGCCGCCGGGAGCCTGGGACCCACGGCTGGGCCCAGCGTGGCCTCCTCCCGCATCAGTGCCCCTTTGTGAGGCAGGAGCTGGCCGTGGCCCACTTGGAGAAAGAGCTTTTTTTCTCTCTCAGCTGCTGACGAAATCAGCAGGGGGTGGGTGCGGGACAGAGGCCACTTGATCATCAAAACTAGGTCTGAAGCTGCCGGCCAGGACTCGCTGGACACACACGGGGCCCCTGGCCATGCAGTCCAAGGCATCAAGAAGCCCACCTGGGTGGGCAACATGCCACAGGCCACCCTACTTCCCAGAGCCCTCATGTGGCTTGGCTCTTGGTCCCTGGTCCTCAAGGGTCAGCCTTGGGCCTCAGCCCTGCCAGATACTTGAAGGGGAAGTCGCCAGATGCTGCCAAATGGCCCAAAGCCCTGCCCATATCCCTAGCCCCACAGCCTCAGCATGTCCCCTCTGCACCCTGAGGGCCCCCCAGGCAAGGACTGAAGAATCCGCCTGGTTGGACATAGCCAGACCAGCACGGGGAAAACTTGCCCAATAAATCAGGCATCAGCAGCATGGACAAAGGGCGGCCAGGGAGCAGGTGTGCCTGTGAAGGACAGCTGCTCCTGCGGGCGCGGCCAGCCGCCAAGCCGGCGGGTGGGGCAGGAGCAGGGCAGCCGGTGGCCCGAGCCGGCTCCGCGTGGGGGAATGTGGCGGCTCAGAGGGTCCTTTGTCCTCTCCACTGCCACGCTGGGCTCTGGGACTCAGTGAAGGCCCACTGCTACGGGCAGGCAGGGCCACAGCAGAGGAAAGGGCCAGGGTGGACGGGCAGCTTTGAGGGCAGCGTCCCAAAGGCCTTTCTTCTGCCCATGCCTGGGTTCTCACTCAGGCTCTGCCCACCTGTCTGCTGTCCCCACCACCCGGCCACAGAGCTGGGGCTGCCTGGGGACAAACACCCGTCACCTCCTTCCCACAGCACTGACGTCCCGGGAAAGGTGAGAGGGACTTTGGGGCTGCAGCTCAGTGTGGCCAGGGCCACCAACCACGAGACCAAGCCCCTCACAGCCCTGGCGGCAGCAGCAGTGGCCGCTCCATCCTCAGCACCTGTCCTGGCAGCTGGGTGAGAGCCACAGGAACTGGCATCTGGGCTTGGCCAAGAATACCACGCCCTTAGGGCCAGCCAGATAGCTCAGCAGCACCTGCTTAGGCAGATGCAGGGACTGGGTTTCCAGCACTGGGGATTGAACATGGGACCTTGTGCTTGCCAGGCAAGCGCTTATGCCACTGAGCTATATCCCCAGCCCCAAGGGACTGGGTTTCGATCCCTGGTGTGCCATGCCGGCTCTGTCTCTGGGGCACGCTGAGACAGTGACTGAGACTGGGGGGTGGGGGTGCGTGCCTGTAATCCCAGCGCTCGGGATTACAGGATCACTACGAGTCTGATCTGTGTAGTAAGACCCTGTACTAACTACATAATAAATAAATAAATAAATAAATAAATAAATAAATAAATAAATCACGGCTGACAGCTGGCTGAGCAGTAGGGATGCCAGAGCATGCCCAAGCTGGGTCCCGCTGCGTGACCCTGGCACTCAGAGCCACTCAGATGTCCCGTCAAGGCCAGCCCTTCCAGGGCTACAGGGGAAACTTCTCAGCAGTAGATGCCCTGAGCCTCCCCGACAGGACAAAACTGTCCCAGCCTCCTCAAGCCCTGCGGCTCTCAGCACCCACCGTGGGAACCCAGCCCCATGACAGGTGTGTCAGAGAAGCTCCTCCTCTTGGGGCTGCCTGGGCACCTGTCTGGCCACGCCGAGCCCACCCTGTGGCCTGGTGGGGGTGGTGCAACCCGCCGTGGCAGGTGAGTGTCAGGCAGCGTCCGGCAGACGCAGAGCTGCACAAGCTGCTCCTGCACCACTGTCCAGAAGCCGCCGCCTGGCCTTTGTTCCGGGCTTCAGTATTTCCACTGTGCCGGCTCCCGCTGCCCTCCCAGGCCGCACACTCCATAGAAATGTGACTCCCCGAAGCCTCCGGAGGCAGATGTTGCTGCGACCTTTCACCCGGGACTAATTCTAAATTGTGCTGTTTTCCTTTCCAAGCTAAGCAGCCATCTGCCACCCCCAGGGGACAGATGACAGCTCCCTCGGCCCCCAAATGAGGAGGAGGGGCAGCAGCACAGTGGGGGTATTTACTGGGCTCCTGCCTCTTCTGCTTGTAAGAAGTTTATGGTCGAGGGGACAGGGGCAGCAGAGCTGGTGGAAGAAGGTGGTATGCTGGGGCAGAACTGTCATAGGGGAGGTGACCACAGCAGGGACCGGGCAGGCCACACATCCAAACCTGGGATGGAGGGGACAGGAGCCACGGCCAAGGCTGGGTCTGATAGGAGGTCCAGGCTTGGCCCCTCAGGCTTGCATACCCAGGGGACCAGCACATAGCCCTGCCCTGAAAGGGCTCCCAAGGGAGCAGCGAAGCGCCCCCCCCTCCACTGCCTGACACCCCTTCCTGAACACACCATGTGCCATGACAGAGGGTCAGGCTGCCACCCCCCAGGAGCCAGTTGGACCCCCACCTGCCTGCTTGGAAGCCGCCTCCCCAGCCCCGTGGGCACTCTGGGCTCTGGCCCTGCCCTGCCCACTGCCCGCTCTATCACACTCAACCCACCTCCCCACCACACCTGCCCAGGCCAATGGCATCTTTGGGCTGGGCAGGGGGTGTGTGTGACACGAGCCCCTGCTGAAGGGGGACGCTGGGGCCAGGCTGAGTGGTCTGGGGCTCAGACTTGGGCCCAGACCCCTATAAAGCCTTCACAGGGCTGACAAGCCCAGCGCCCTCCCTGGCCAAGACTCCTGAGGAAGGGGCTCTGGGGGATCCCTGGGTCCAGACACCTGTCTGGTCCAGGCCCACATCCAAGCAGCAACCACCACCAACCAGGACACAGGCCTGGACCAGGCTGGGCAGGCTTGGGGACCTGCTGGATGCCCTGCGTCCCACCTGGGGCTCAAGGATAAAATCCGAGAGGCAGGAGGCCTCACTCCTCACGGTCCCATCCTGTGCCCCAAACAGCCCCAGCACAAGAAGCCCCAGATTCCAGCGAAGCTCACTCTGTGGCCTGGAGTCTGGAGGCTGCAGCCTGGGCCTGTGGCCTGCCACCACTGTCGGCAACAGCCAGGGATGAGCTGTGCCTGCCCCTGGACCTGAGAAGGGAGCAGGGGCCCCAGGAAGGGCAGGCAGCCTCCAGCCCACACAGCAGTGCCTCTGGCACCCAAGGGCGCCACGGGGCTAGCAGGCCTTCCAGCCCAAAGGGT